AATAAGAATACTGCATGATAATTGAAAAAATGTTTTCGAATTAATACATTTTAAACATGTTCATGTATTTTTTTAGTATTAAAAAAACAAGTAATCTGATCAAAAAGGTAATTGTAATCAATTTAACTTTTTTTTTTCCTCATCATGTCATTCATTGTTTCAATGGGTTTTGTTTGTGGTGTGCGTGTCTTGGCCACCAGGGGGCAGTGTAACAGAGGCTATTAATTTTGCATCGTGTACAAGCGTTACGCGAGCAGACTTGTATATGTGGTTTGATTAAATACGTTTCTAATTCTCTTTTTTTCATGTTTAGTTTTACAGTCAACCTAAAAAAATTGTCTGAGGATCTCGAAATCTTGTCAGAGTACCAATTTAGTTTGTCGTCTTTTCTTATAAAGGACTCACTTAACTGAACGTTCAGTATATTTATCCCACTTATCTGACGATATTATAATTTGGCTTCTCTGAAAATCAGTAATTTATACAACAAAACCAGTGTTGGCCTTTTGCATAGGACCAAGCCAATGAGAAAATGGAACAACTACACTTTATTTATTATTATTATTAATATATATATATATTTTTTGCAGAGTCTCACCCATCCACACGTCCCCAAAGCAGCCATGTCCCAGCTTCCTCTGCAGGGACAACATGGACCGGGGCACCTCCCAGGCATCCCGGCCCAGGCCCATGGTGAGCGGCGTGCAATTGGGACAGGCCTTGGTCAGGTAGTAACACAGCCCGTCGTTAGTGTCTTGGGATGGAGGGATGCATGGAGTGATGGAGTGAATGAGGGATGGGAGGAAGAGTGAGAGAGATGGGCGGTGAGAGGAAAATGGTACGTGCGCATGCGATGGCGAGGGAGGGCAAGGGTCTCGTTGTGCACGCCTGGATTTTCTCAAGTCATTTTAATTAAGGATTAGGGGTGTAACGAATACTAACTGAATTGAAAAACATTTTTTGATTTAAAAAATATATATAAATGCCTCAATCGAACAGAATCAGAGAGGCAGATGCACACCCCTAATGTATATGGATGCCCATATTTTTTTCCTTATTTTTGTTTTGGTCCAGGTGTGCTTCCACTGAGACCCTCGGCAACCCCCGCCTCCCTCCCCCCGAGCCCTCCTTCCCCTTCCTTTCCCTGCCTGGCGCAAGACCCCCCCCCGCCCCTCCTTGCGGCCTACCCATCCACACTTCTCCAAACTGGCCGTTGCCCCGCTTTTTAATC